GTATGTACTACCAACACGACGGCTGTCCCGCTCATTACGCGAGTGTAGTACGTGCATACCTGGACAATGAGTTTAGTGATCGGTGGATAGGTCGTGGAGGGCCTGTGCCTTGGCCACCTAGAGGCCCGGACTTAACGCCCCTGGATTTTTTCCTATGGTCGGAAATTAAAAGGACTTGTTTATACACGGGAATATGAAAGCCGTGATGATTTACGCATTGCGATAGTGGACGCTTTTGATAAAGTGAAAAGTGATAGGGACACGTTAAGAAAATTAAAAAACAATTGCATTAAACGTGGACGTTTGTGTATTGAACGCAGCGGACTCCATTTTGAGCAGTTGCTTCGATACAGAGAAGTGTAAATAAACTGTAAATAGGTATGTAAGTTAATTATTCTGTAGATAGCTCCGATTTTTTAAATACGCCTGAAATATTTATACCTACAGTCCGTTGATAAATTGATTTGTTGTGAAAAGAACAATCGTGGTTAATAATCGAAAAGAAGTTTAAAAAAATTAGGTATTTACGACGGTCCTAAGCCCGTGTAAAGTATGAAGGACAAACTGGAGTCTATCTACGTAAGTACTCGCTAGCTCGCGCCTATAGGTATACTTTTATCAGCTGCTGTTAGCGTCAGCGGTGCGCAGCGGCCGCCGAAACGCCCACGGACGTGTTTCATTCATATATGATAATGAACGAATGATCAGTCCATTACTAGTTTCCAAGTCGATCGAGTAAAAATGAATATTAAAACTGAAACTTTTTTTAGTCAACATTACAATTGATTTAACCATTTTTATAGATGATTCCAAATTAAAATGTTTCGTTTCCAAAACGCCTATAAAATCACCGTGTATGTTAAGTATATTATGTATGCAATATTTTTCACAAAATCACATTTTTAATTTCTTTTGTGCATCTACCATGTTTTAGCTCTGCACCGCTAGGTTGACTGGGAGAAAATGCTTACGGCATTAAGTCCGCCTTTGTCAAATTTGTGCATAAAGTGTAAATGAAATAAAATAAAATCTTTTCAACATAATTTATTAGCAATGAATACTTAAATTTACAGAGTATTTGGGCTCAGTCCAGGCTGATGTGTATACAAAATGTTTCATTTTACTTTATTGTGTTCTCATAAGTTTTTAACAAACATTATTCTGAATAAAACTTTCTTTAGAAAAAGAAGCCAATTTTTGAAAAACCTTTCTATAAAAGAAGCAGTTAACCAACATTCCTGTCTAGTAAATGGGTTATGAGCATCCATTGATTACGTAAACTTAGAGGGGGTAATATAACAATCTAACCGCCTAGTCAGGGCTGTCTTTAGCCTATTGGAGACCCTGGGCACATTAGGCTAATGGAGCCCCGATGACCTTGACTGATTACTATTCTGTTAGAATAGACAAAAAAGTTTTATAGCCAGTCATTATCGTTGGATTTTTGGAAATAAATATGGTTTTCAGTAATAAATATCGATTGGTGATCTGGCAGGAATTAGGGGCTCCTATCGATCAAGGGCCACGTGCCCAGTGGAAAAGAGGGCCCTGGGCCTAGTCCAAGTTTCTTTCACATCAACTCGCTCTCAACAGTGAGCGCGTTCGGCGTTGCATTTGGTGTAGATTTCAGTGCTGACCAATCACAGCGCCGAAAGCGCCTACCGTTACGATCGAGTACCTAGATGTGAAATTGGACCTCTGGTCAAATGAAGAGGGAGGCTTAATAAAAAAAAACTGACGTAATTAATAGATACTCAACAACCCACGTAATAAATGTCAAAAAAATAACAATTCATACAAAACCTATATTTATCCTTATAGAGATTTGTGATGTAGATTATTTTTATTGATATTCAAAGTTGTATAATGAAGAAACTACACAAAAATTGTGTATGTGTCAACTGCACGACTGGAGTTTATTCCTTAAGAACGATTCGGCTGCACACAAGTATACAAGTTATACACACACATTAATTAAAAAACGTCATGAGGTCATTCGATCAAAAAATTTTACTCTTCATATTTTTTCAAACAAAAATCGATTCTTATGGAGTAAACTCCAAAAATATGCAAATCACACTATTTACCGATACTTTATTTATTCTCTCTATTTCTATAAACAGTACCTTTAGTAGTACCATACATTTATATCAGCCAGCCGGGACGTTAGACCCTTTTTACAAGCTTTTTATTAAATATTTACAACCTCTCAACGAGATGCCCAGTTCCATCAAAAAAGAAAAAAAAGTTTATAAATAAAATTTGATGAAACGGAGCGTTAGACTACGTAAGTTAACATTTGAGAATATGGCTCGATGCTTATAAAAACGTATTTAGAAATTTGGGTGTCAACAGAACAATCCATTATTCATGTACTTAAATAATACATTAGAGCACAATCACATACTAATATTATAAATGCGAAAGAGTGCGTCTGTCTGTCTGTTATCTCTTCACGCTTAAATCGCTGATCCGATTTAAATGACATTTGGAATAGAGATAGATTGAGTTCCAGGAAAGGACATATACATACATACATCATCCTTTAAGGGGCTGAAAAGGGAGGTGGAAGTTTGTATGGGGGAATCAATAACCGCTGAACTGATTTGGATGGTATGGGAATGTTGAATAAAAGAAAAGTTGCAAAGTTATGTACAACTATAGAGGACGAAAAATGATTAAGCGCAAAAATGGCTGACAAAGTGTGGTGTAATTGAGAGCCTTACAAATCTCTTTATGTCGTTACTTTCACTTAATACAAACGCATTGAAATACAAACAGGAGGACAGTTGCATTATTTGCAATCTCTGTGTTCCCAAATACATTGTTTAATAGTTTGATCTAATTCTCAAAATAACTTTACTTGTCTGTAAAGAAATAAGATCAAAATAGATCCTCATTCCGTATATTTATGTTTAAATAACTAATCATACTAAACGTGTATGCATGTAATATAATAGTTATTGTTTGGTTTTTCGTACTAAAACTAAGATTAACTGTTTAATATACTTACTAAATAGCGTTCTTTTTATTCTTTAAAACATGTTTCAATATTAACATACTACATTTAGTTGATTTTTCAAAAACGTATTGCGATATTATTGATTTTGGCGGGTTCTTAATCCTTTTGAATTTAGAAGTCTACAGCTTAAAAAGTCATAGAGGTATGCTTCTAGGTTACGGCGGGTACAGGTAAGGAGAAACGTCTCTGTGTATGAATAAGTGTCCAAAAAGGGCGGCGCTGCGGTAGTCTAGGATAAATTTTAAAGAAAGCGCCAAAATTAATTAGAAAAAGATGGACTAATAAAATCATGTAAATTATTTTAGACTGTGTAAATAGTTGAGGTTTTGTATAGTGGCATTTTACTAACTACTCTAGTCACTTTTTTGACGTGACAACGTCTTATAATTCGATAAAGCCGGCTGCACGCGCGAAAAAACATGACTCATGCGGCGTTACCTCGCTCTGAGGCGTTCCATTTAAGGCGTGAAGTGCAAGCGTGAGCGCGGAACGAGTGACGAAGAGGCACAATCGGCCTCCGCGTTCGGCAGCGTTCGACATCTGTCTCTCTCCTACTTGAGTGAGCGATGCGTCCGCGTGGACAGCTGCTACTCGTATACAATAATAGATTTTTGAAAAATGCAACCATTCCATCAGTATTTTCTTATGACGTTGTCACGTTCAACTATCGTCAGTTAACCGACTTTACAGACAACCGTTTTTTTTTAAATATTTGAACTCAGCACACTTCACTCATTCTACAATAGCTATGTTCAGTATACGGCTGGCTACTTTTCCAACTTTCCCCCCATATGAAACAGTTCTCCTTTCCTCAACCACTATATTCTAGATTTAACTTTTTGAACCATAGAGATAAATAATGATTAATAGTTTTCGAATCAGTATGTGTAGATCTGGCCTTTTGTATTAAAAAAAATTGCTATTCAAATTTAGTGACAAGTTAAATGGTGGGAGTATTTAAATGCCTTGACACAAAATAAATATTATAAATCTAAAATAAATAAATTATCTTAATACTAAACAAGATATGTTATGTTTATTTACATTGCGTAGTGCATTAGGATGTTGTGCATCCGTTTGAAGAAGAGTTTAAATGCACATTTACATGTCGAACTTGACGAATCACGTCATTTAACTTAAATGACGAAAGATATTACCCGATTCACATCATTACCAAGTTATTTTAATCGAGTTCAGAAATGAGGAGGTTGTATTTTTTTATGTTTTAACCTCAGAACTCCGTCATATATGAACAAAATCTTTTTTTATTTGAAAACGGAGAAAAAATGAAATTTGAGATGCCGAAAATCGATCGAAGTGGCATGCAATGGGAGAGGACTATGTCTAGCAGTGGACTGCGATAGGCTGATGATAATGATTTGAAAAGGTATGCTCCTCGTTGGAACCTATTCAAACGAACAAAAAACTTTCAAACCTAAGGGTGAAGATTAAGGCATGAAGCATACAGTTTGAAATTAATTTTGTGTATGGCAACACGTACAGAGACTTAACGCAACACCTGTCATTTCAACAATGTCTAGAACTAATATAGAGTAATAAAATCATAAATAACTCTTCTAATATAACTATAAAACTTTTGCAATGTGAATCGACGTCAAGTAAAGAAGAAATAAGACTTATACCTATATATATCTCTTAATATACATACACCTTCATTCAAATAATTATTTTTATAATTTGACTTCCATGTTATTGTAAGACACACTGAATTTCATATAAAACTTAGTATTATATTTTGAGCTAAAGTTTGAGCCATCTCATTATCATCGTAAATATACCATAGGTACACTTCTTGTACCATAAACATACATTTTTTGACGTTCAAAGTTACCCGACAGGTGACAGTCGAACAACATTGTCAGTTTTTTATTACAGCTAATGTTAGCCGAATCGACTGCCTTCTGAATTTTCTCCATGTCGGGATTTATAATAATGTCCACGTATTTTTGCAAATTTACTATAGATTATTAACAGAGATGATTTGGTTGATCCATCCGATAAAAGACGACACTTTGACATATACGCCGGGCACGTCTTGTCTGCCGCAGCCGAAGCCCCATGACACGAGGCCCACCAGCTCGTAGAACCCGTCATCTTGGCACACTAGCGGACCACCACCGTCACCCTGAAAAAGAAACAATCGTCAAAAACCAGATAGCGATTTATCAAAATACAGCGACCGCCTCGGCTTCGTATGGGTGCAATGTTTGGGATTCTCCTTGGGAACTTGGGAGTTTGTATTGGGAATTTGACCAATAAAAACCCCATTTAATCACTTATACGGGCTCTTTAAGGGTAGTTTTAAAAAAAATGTAAACACCCCTACTAAAAATAACGAAGTTGCATATAGATTTCCAAACTACATTTTGCTCCCTTGTGGTGGAACTTTAAAAAATCCTTTTTAGAGCACACCTACGTCACCTAAGGAACATTTATGCAAAATTTCAACCTTCAAGACCCAGCGGTTTCATCATTCAGTGAATCTGTCTGTGCTGTCATGTCAATGCTGTCAGTTTCTTTTAATGATAAGGGTAGATTTGGTTAGAGAGCTCGTACTTTCAAGCACAGCGAATTTAAATCACAACTGTTTAAGCAAAATTCTATTTATACTATGGCATTTCCTTCTTTCCTACGTTTTTTTTAATAGTCTTACACTTTTCCCGCCTTATTGTTGATGGCCTTTGCCCTTATTACGTGTGTGAGACTAAATAGTTGGCAAAATGTGGCGATTGCAACGTCTCTGTTTACTTCTTTGGGCCACATTATACATTTCTTGTAACATGCAGTTATACTTTGAGCTGTGTCAGCATTATAGTTCATTTATTTATATATTCATTAATTTAAGAATGGATTTAAAAAAATGGGTGTACGGTCCGTACATCAGGCTTTTAAGTTATAGGATAAATCAGGAAACTCTGAAATAATTTATCCTATTCTGTATTTTCTTATGCACTGTAACTTATCTCTGATTTATATAAGTGAGGATTTGTTATTGGCTATCTGTTTTCTTGACTGTTTTTATTGTGATCATCATAGCTGTAAATCCTCCATAGTTGTAATAAATAAATAAATAATTTAACTGACTATATTGATAGATAAAAATGATATTAATGATAATGATGACGTGCTGCGGCTCACATCCGCAACACGTCAATTGATAGTCGAATATGAACGCGAACTGAACTGAAGTATGATTTAATAAATTAATAAAGTGATGACACAGGTCAATGTATAACGCTATGATACGAGAAAAGTATTACGTATCTCGTACAGTCTATGTTAAAAATTTATAATGTCATAAAAGTTAAATGAACCTAATTATTTTTAAACATGACCCGAACTCTATCTAGACCAAAGACCTTATAAATGTTAGAGAAAGCGAACAAGGCGCAATCGCAAACGGTTGGAAAGAGAGAAAGAAGATTGTTTTGGATATGCATCTCTCTCTCTGCTCTTGTCACTGATTGGCTATTTTAAATGCCCTATTCAGTATCAACCGATCAGTGAATAGAATGAAGAGAGATGAAAGACCAAAATAGTATTTTTTCTCTGTCTACCCGCCGCACGCTATCACTTTCAGAAGAATATACAGTTCGCTCCTTTATTTATAATATCTTTATGATCTAGACCCAAATCAGGCATAGCTTTAATTATAGATTCTAGAATTTAGGTAGGTATTCATATTTAGATACATTTTTGAAACGTATAAAATAACTAAAATCAAAAGCTGGTGTCCTCTTGGCTTTTAAAGACAGCCCTCTATTTACCTGACATGCATCGTTGCCTGGCTCTCCCCCAGCACAGAAGGAGCTAGCCGGTAGGATGAAGATCTTCTCTGTCACAGCATTAACCTTGCGTATGCACTCCGCATCGCTGACGATCGGAAGTTCTGCCTCACGAACTCTCAGAGGAATAGGACCGGCTGCAAAATATTAATCTGACATTCAAGATTGACATGTTTTGCTAGCACGTGCTTTAACGTTAAAATTATTATTTTTTTTAAGTAGGGACTGGAATTTTTTGGGGCTCTTGGCTAAGTGCTATCGAGTAGGTTAGCTTATGCAAAGTTAAGCAATCCTACCGAGGCCAGTCTATGAAATGGTGATCATTCTTAACATATTGAGACCCCTCCGTGCCTCTGCACGCTAAAAAGATACAGAAACTAAGATACAATGAATCAAGATTATAGGTATATGTACCAACATGTACCAATTTTTTAACAGTAGTTTTAAAAATTAGTAGCAACGTTTATTCCTTTTAATTAACGCTACTACCAAAAATAACGAAGTTTCATATAAATTTGCACCCTTAGAAGTTCAATTTTTAAAAATCCTTTCTTAGTGCCTACGTCACCTAAGGAACATTTGTGCAAAATATCATGCTGCTAGACCCAGTGGTTTCAGCTATGCATTTATCGATCAGTCAGTGAATTAATCTGACAGTTTCTTCTTCTAAATGTATAGGGAAATGACTGCACGGATGGCGTAGTGGTTTGAGCGGTCACCTCGCCTCGAGTGTTGTGGGTTCAACACTTTGCTTGATCCACAAATTGTTGTTCTGAGTCTGGGTGTTCTTTGTGTCCGTTTCATGTATGTTTGTAAGATCCCCCGCGACACAGGATATATTATACAGAGGAGTTGTTTTTGAAAAAAAAAAAAACACCCAGACACAGAAAGGAGGAGAAGACGAAGAAGGCCTATGTCCAACAGTAAATCAACAGCCTTTGATAGTCTACTACTGGATTTAAGCCTCTCCTTAGAAAGGAGGTTTTGGCCTACTATACCACGCTGGCCAGATGGATTGGTATAGAGTTTGTGTCAAGCTTTCCTTATCTTTGCAGTTCTGTTGTCCTGCGTAGTCAGCCCACGGGATGAATAGGGGTGGTGACACTCCGTATTGTTTAACCGTCACCACATGGATGTCCAACAGTGGACATCATATATCTGCCAAAATGATGATCATGCTTATGTAATAACAGAAGAAATAAAAAACAATTGCGCTAAAGCTTACTTTCTCCCATGTATCCGTATCCGGTGACTGTGCATCTCTTGCCTGCGGCGTGACTCACCCCTCGTGCCGGCAGACATACCAGGCACACCCCTGTTTAAAAACAGATATATTTTATAGATATATAATGTTATTCAATTGTGTATTTCGGAGCCTTTTTTGCAAGGAGAGTAGCTCTCCGCCGCGAGGCTGTTAGGCGTGACGTTCGCTACAAATAGACGGATGTTATATATGAACAGAATAAAAATAAATTATTAAATAAAATAAACCGACTTTGTTAAAAATATTAACTGAAAAGGAAAAATAACATTTCTCGGTGTCACTTCCAGAAATAAGACGAAACTAACCTCAAACGTGAAAATATTTTTGGGGGATTTGAACAGTCTCTAAGAATCAGACATATTTAATGGCGTGAGGGGTCTATGGACCCCCGGTCGGAACGAAGTTCCTTTCTCTTTTTGGTAGACGTTTGCTATACAGTCTGCTTTAAACTTAAAGTGTCGGAAAAAGTCTTGTTAAAAAATTTTTCGGTCTCGCTCCCATCCCTCAGTGTGTAACGCGCGATAAGGAATTTCGTTCCAATAGAAGCGGGGTCCAGGAGAAACTCACTCAGTAAAAAAACATCGAAAGAATTGTTTAAAACAAATTTTCTGTGAGGCCATACACCGTGGTGGAAACTCTACAACGCAAGTAATTCTACCCACCTTCTTTGAGCTCAGCTTTTCCATGGAGTTTCAACAACGCGATATCATTATCCAGGGTCTGGCTGTTGTGGTTGTGATGTATATAGGTAGTAGCCACCCTGAGAGTCTGCGCTCCTGGTGACCCATACTTGCGGGTCAGGTCGTGGTCTCCTACTCGGACGTAGATGGCGTCCCCTGATCGCACGATGCTGAGAAATGGGATAATAAAAACAATTAAGTTAATTTAACTTTAAAAAAAAATGCGTTGTGACGTATTGTTCTGTTCTCATGCCGCTATAACAACAAATACTAAAAATAGAATAAAAAATCGGTTGTCTGTAAAGTCGGTTTACTGACGATAGTTGAACGTGACAACGTCATAAGAAAATACTGATGGAATGGTTGCATTTTACGAAAACATGTAAATGTATTATTGTATAGCAGCTGTCCACGCGGACGCATCGCTCACTCAAGTAGGAGAGAGACAGACGTCAAACTCTGCCGAAGGCGGAGGCCGATTGTGCCTCTTTGTCGCTCGTTCCGCGTTCTCGCTTGCACTTCAAGCCTTAAATGGAACGCCTCAGAGCGAGGTAACGCCGCATAAGTCATGGTTTTTCGAGCGTGCAGCCGGCTCCATCGAATTATAAGACGTTGTCACGTCAATAAATATTTAAGGGAGCTCCCATACAAATAACGTAATTTTTTTGCTCAATATTGACAACGGCAACAGGTAGACGCTTGAAACATTCACAGAATATTTAGTTATATATTTACTTTGAAAATAAATAACTCAATTAAAATAAAACAAATGTTTAAGGGAGCTCCCATACAACAAACGTGTCTTTTTTTGCCGTTTTTATAGATTATGGTACGGAACCCGTCGTGCTCGAGTCTAACTCGCACTTGGCCGGTTTTTGATTTTGCGTTTGTAACTTTGAAATGACGAACTTCCATACAACCGTTCATCCCTTTTTTGCCTCTTAGGGGTGAAAGTTCTAAAAACCCTTTCTTAGTGAGTACGACATAAAAAGCTGCCAAAATTCCAAGTTCATAGCCTCAGCTGTTTAATAATAAAATTTTAACAAAAAAAACCGACTTCAATGGTTTTCTCATGGATTCCATGGTCAGAACTAGACCAAATTGAAATGACACGGGAAGCACCAGCTTTCCAATAAAAAAAGAATCATCAAAATCGGTTTACCCAGTCGAAAGTTAACAAACATAAAAAAAAAAAAAAATACAGTCGAATTGAGAACCTCCTCCTTTTTTGAAGTCGGTTAAAAAGAGCTCAGAGCGTTGATAAATCATAGAGTCAGTTAGGGCGAGTCATTTTGTATGGTGTAGATTTGTTCATCCGTCAACTTAGAATTCCTACATTAAACAATATATACTCTTCTTTTATTTCTACCTTCCAAAAGTACGTAAAATGAATATAAGAAGACAAAGCTTACTTAGTAACGCAGTGCGCGGCAGTTAGTACCCATTGCGTTCCAATAAGTGCAGCTCCACAGAGGTACTGGTTCAACGAGTTGATGAGCGCGACCTGCCAACACCACTCGCCCCGCTCACCGTCCTCCCCACCCATAACTCGACCCAACCGGCGGGACGAGCGTGATGTTATACCTAAAAAATATTACAAATATGTAAAGTATTAGTTTTAAGTAATTTTTCATTCTTCTTTTCTCTCTTTCTAGACGAATTACACCCAATATCCTTTACTTTATAGCTACCATGATGAAAATCCCTTGTACACTTTCTTAAACAAATATGGCGCGCAGAAACATATCATATCTGGAATAATTATGGTTAACATGCAGAAGTGAACACAGTTAAACATGTTTAACATTATATTTATCGGAGTACTAATCCCTCTCTCCTATGCTGGAGTTTGGGGAGGTACCACAGGGCTTCCACTCACTTATGTCTTCAGTTGTTAGCCGACCTTTCCTACACCATAAGTAAGTCCTTACAACTAGTATAGTATAGCATCAGTCAAGTTAAGACCTTAAATCGTCAATACCTTTTACTCCGCACACGTATTTGTTATATTTTTCTGTGGAAGACAAAGTTGTCCCGTAGCTCGGCTCGTAGGCAACTGGAAAATATAAAGTAATATACTTTTATTAACAATATTGAAAAAAATATTACCTTGAAGTTGTGAGATCGAGAGATGATCGGAACTGTATTGTGACCGAATTTTTATTACGAGAATTGGCTATCAGATCAGATCAGATCATCAGCCTTTAATAGTCCACTGTTGAACATAGGCCTCTCCTTAGAAAGGAGGTTACTGGCCTACTATACCACGCTGGGCAGACGGGTTGGTATAGGGTTTCCCTGGCCCTCAACCACATGGCAGACCGCCTCGGGGAGGTGTTCGACGCTAGCTTGGCGTCGGGACGCTTCCCTGAGTGCTGGAAGAGCGGGAAGCTGGTCCTATTGAGGAAGCCGGGACGGCCTGCCGATTCGGTCGCGGCCTATAGGCCCATCGTGCTGCTGGACGAGGCGGGCAAATTGTTTGAGAGGGTTCTTTCTGCCCGCATCGTCCGGCACCTCTGCGAGGTGGGCCCCGATCTGTCGGACGCCCAATTTGGTTTTCGGGCGGGGCGTTCGACAGTCGACGCCGTGTTGCGCCTGAGGGCCGTGACCGAAGAGGCCGTGAGCTGTGGCGACGTGCTGTTGGCGGTGTCATTAGACATCGCCAACGCATTCAATAGTCTGCCATTCAGCTGCATCAGGGAAGCACTCCACTATCATGGGGTGCCAAAGTACCTGAGGCGGCTAGTGGCAGACTATTTAGAGGAGCGTACCGTCGTGTACGAGGACCGAGAAGGTAATTTGAGGTGTCGGCCCATGTCGTGCGGTGTTCCACAGGGGTCTGTTCTTGGACCCCTCTTGTGGAACATAGGGTACGACTGGGCCCTTCGCGCCGATTTCCCCCCCGGGCTGGGTGTAATCTGTTACGCAGACGATACCCTGGTGACAGCCCGGGGGGCAAACTTCCAAGAGGCGGCGCGCCTGGCCACAGGGAGGAGTCTCCCTGGTGGTCGGGCGCATTGAGGCGCTGGGCTTACGGGTGGCCCTAGATAAGACGGAGGCCCTGTTATTTCATGGGCCCCGTCGTGGTCCACCCCCTGGCGCCTCAATCGTGGTCAACTCGGTCCTCGTACCGGTTCGGGCCCAGATGAAATATCTGGGCCTGATCCTCGACGGGAGGTGGCTCTTCGACGAGCACTTCCGACAGCTTGCTCCAAAGCTGGTCGGCGCTGCGTCTGCCCTAGGGCGACTTTTGCCCAATATGGGTGGACCCAGCGTCGCGACAAGACGGCTGTACACGGGGGTTGTCCGGTCAATGGCACTGTACGGTGCACCGGTGTGGGCGGCGGCTCTGACCGCCCAGAATAGGGTACGCCTCTGGCGCCCTCAGAGGGTAATGGCGGTCAGAGCCATACGCGGTTACCGCACCGTTTCGACGGAGGTGGCGTGCGCGTTGGCCGGAACTCCCCCGTGGGATTTGGAGGCGGAAGTGCTCGCCGAAGTTTATCGGCGAGTGGCTGACTCCCGGGCGGAGAGCGGATTTCGCCCTCCGCCCGAGGATGTGCGCGAGTGGCGCGAAGCCGTTCGCCGAGCCACGATGGCTCGTTGGTCGTTCCGGCTGGAGACTCCACGCGCTGGCTTCGCCGCCGTGGAGGCTCTCCAGCCGGTCATTGCCGAGTGGGCAGGGCGGCAGCACGGGACCCTTTCCTTCCGGCTGACGCAGGTGCTTTCCGGGCACGGTTGCTTCGGAAAGTACCTGCACACGGTCGCTAGGAGGGAACTGAGTCCCGCCTGCCACCACTGCGACTGCAGTGAGGACTCGGCCCAGCACACGCTGGCGGTCTGCCCCGCATGGGCGGCGCAGCGCCGGGCCCTCGCTGCAGTCATCGGAGTGGATCTCTCGCTACCGGCCGTAGTACGCTCCATGGCCGGTAGCGACAGTTGTTTTACCGCGGTCGCAACCTTCTGCGAGGTAGTAATCTCGCGGAAGGAGGCGGCGGAGAGGGCCCGGGAGGACGACCTCCACTCGGACCCGATCCGCCGCCGGCGAACCGGGCGGCGGAGGCCCGCCTACCACAGCCTCATGCCGCCCTGAGTGTGGCCGCGGGTGGACGGGGTGGGTTTCCCCTCCACCCGCATTAGTTTGGCCAGCCGCGAGGGGGCGGCGTCCGCGTGTGCCGGACGTCGCCTAAAGAGAGGAACACCATTGAGACGGAGCCCGCACCAGGAGCGGGCTGGCGCTAGGAGGGGTACGGATGTCTTAACAACAGCTGTTCCCGGATCCCTCCTGTTACAGGCGCAGAGTGGCACACCGTGTGGTTTTAGTCGGTCCGAGTCCGACACACCACCCCGCCGCAAACCCCTGAGGGGTGACGGTCCGAGGGGATTTCAACACGTTAAAAAAAAAAAAAAAAAAAAAGGGTTTGTGTCAAGTTTTCCTTCTTTTTGCAGTTTTTGCGCCCTTAGTTGGCTCTTACGACACCGACGGGATGAATTGGGGTAGTGACACTCCGTATTCTTAATCACGGACTACTACACAGACATCAGGATCCTGAAAATTATCTGTTGTAATTTCAAGGTCTGAATATGGAACAATACGTTAGGAACATTGTCAAGTGAAATAAATCATTGAAAATAACTAAATACCAATGAACATAAAAAATCAAATAACCATCAACGGTACCCATTGGCGTGGTGTGCGTATGCGCCACCATGGAAGTGGTGTAATGCTGGTAGTTGGTCGCCGGCTGTGGGAGTGGGAGAGGGGCAGTGTCGTTCAGTGGTCGTCCACCAACTACCTCCTGGACCTTCGACTTGGGCGCGCAGCACTGAGTACCAGCCTTCTTGCATTTGAATACGTCTGTCATTTCTGCGTTACCTGGAAATATAAATATTGTATTGTAATATTATGTGACGTGCTGTGATGGGTTATTGTTGAAACTGAGACAGAAAGTAGCTCATAACTTTTTTAATTTGTTTTGCATGTATTTTGTTTTTAATTAGTGGATATCCATAAATAACGTTACACGTTAAGAGTGGAAGGAGTGGAGATCGAAGTGTAACAATGTATTAAAACGCAAAATTTGAACTAGTAACAGTAAACATTAAATTATTTCCAATTGCGGCACTGTTGTTTTATTTAAACCATATCTAGATGTATAGTTTTAAAATATTTGACGTCACTTACGGTGGGGGAGTCTAACAAATATGACCAGCTGTGACTAAGATTAGGGTCAAAAAAGCATGACAAATGTGTAACGTAATTTATGTATGACCCCTAATTGCAATGTGTTTATATTTTTCAGAAAATTTTATAACTTATTTGGATGGGTTTACTCACGGAAGCAAGTGAAAGACAGCAGCGATACGATGCAAGATCCAGGACAGTCAGGTCGTGGGTCTGTTGGCGCTGGTGTGGTTGTGGTGGTTGTCGTGGTGGTGGTAGGACGATGCGTTGTCCGTGGTGGTACTCTGGGGAACATTGCCGAAAAAAATAGAGGTTTAGTGCGAGTGGTGAAATTATTATAAAAAATAAGTATCATCAAAATTGTGATAAACTGTATTCTTTATAACTTACTAGCTTTTGCATGCGGCTCCGTCCGCGTGTTAGTCGGTTATCACAGTAAAAAGCTATGTTACTCGCTGATAATGTAGCTTTCCATTGGTGAAAGAATGATTAAAATCGGTTTAGTGGTTTAGGAGTGAAAGCGTAAAAAACAAACAAACTAACTTTTAAATTTATACTATAAGTATGTATGTATATTGTGGAAGTATGGATATTTAAACTAATATAGAGATGGCAAATTTACTTCAAATTTAAATTGCAATTTGTGACAAAGTACAAACGGGGATTGTTAACCAAAATGCTACTACATAACATAGGCATACTGCAGGTTGGTGATCTGTATGTTAATAATACAAAGATCAACGTGTTGATTGCTAGCGTGACGACTGACCAGGCGAGGTGATCAAGCCTGATGAATTAAGACCCAAGGGTTGATGTTGAGAGGTTTTATCATAGACTAATCGGTGAAAAAACTTTTATTGCGCGATGCTGGACCAGTAATGGCTATGTAGTTCAGCGCGTCTTCGCTAGATGTCGCTGTTTTTTTCTCCAGTTGTAACTGGAAGTTGTTTACACTTCCTAACAGGTTTAGTACGGTAAAGAACTAACCTGGTGTTATCACAGCAGATGAATCCTTGCATTTTGCAGTGCGTGTGAGCCAGCAGTACTGCTGGAGGTTCGCAAAACGCCCTCATTATGCCATGCAGACAGTATCCCGGACATCTTGGTAGAGGAACCTGGACACGAATATTACATTGGATAAAGAAATAGAGTAGAAGATATGCAACAGGCATCAGCAGTATAACGCAATGTTAAGTATGCAGGTCTGTTAAACATGCGCTGATCACCATCACCATCATTTCTTATATTCTTTCCCTTTTCCCCAATCAATTTGGGGTCCGTGCAATTAGTAGTCCATAAATTAATTGTCTTCTTTTATTCTCCTTCTTCATGCAGTTCTTCATTTCATTGCAAAATGGTTTTGGATTTTGTCTCTTATGGAAATTCTGTTTTTTTATGCAATTTTCTTACGGGCAAGTATGAATTGATAAATGTCAGAAGTGGAAGCAAGGGAGGGAGGTTAGGTTACAAAAATAATAATATTATGTAATTTAGAGCGATCCAATCACGGTACATATGTAGGTACATCTAAACCAGGGATTCCCAAGGTGGTCCCCTCGGGGTCTACATAAATGAAAACTGGTTTTGGGGACATTTGGGGGTCAACGAGGTTTAAAAATTGACCGCCATTAATTAACACAAATTCTTATTTGAAACTTTTAAGATTAGTTGTATTACGTGTACCAACTTGTTATAGGAATTACTAATATTTTAGTAGGAAGTATTATTTGTTGTACTTTTAAAGAACTCAACAAACCTATAAGCGTACAGTAATTGTGCTATGGGGATCTGAGGTATCAGTCCATTTTAGAAAAGGGGTCTGTTACCTAAAATAGTTTGGGAATCTTTGATTTAAACACAGAACAAATAATCATTACACAATCACAACTATTATTTGTTCTGGGTTAGAATCGAATCCACGACCTCTGGTTTAGCAGTGAGGATCACTCATCCAACAGATCAGTCTATACGATGTATATAAATATTAGAAAGGTCATACTTACAGGGGTGGTCGGTCGAGGTCTATGCGTGGTAGTAGGTCTCCTAGTCGTGGTCTCAACATTCTTAGTTTCTGTGATGCAGCAGACGCCTTCACCAGGACACACAGCATCTTCATCTACGTTGTCACAGAGCAGGGAGAACAGACCTGAGATGCAGTCACCACGACACTTGCGACCAGGCCTTGGTTTAGGAGCTGGAGTTGTGGTTAGCTGGAGAAAAGAGATTTATTTTTAAATGTTTAAAGTTGAGTAGTGACAAATGGCGACAGGAAAACATTAAAATGTGTGTGTGAGTGCAGAATCTTCTACTTTTTTTAAGGGCAAATGAACAGCTTTCTTTCTTTCTATATACAGTGCATTGGCACCCTTCGAGTGTCCCCACAGAGTTAGAGGGGAGCCTGCTCTTAGGCCCAAGTGTGAGTTTATTGCACATCAACTTGATCGTCACGGTTACCAAGTTCGGTGTTGCGATTAGTGAAGAGTTCAGTGCCGACCGCAACTCCGAACTCTAACTGCTGTTTTCATGAAACTCTTCAAGCTATTAAACGATCGTAGGCGTGCGCCACTGAGTCCGTCAGCCTGTGACCACTATGGTTAGAACGTATGCAATACGTGATTACATTAATTCCTGTATTTGCTGGATGCGAGAAGCCCAAAATCGATCTAAGTGGCGTGCAATGGGGGAGGCCTATGTCCAGCAGTGAACTGCGATAGGCTGATGGTGATGATGATGATTTATTCCTGTAAATATATACAAGTTTACGTTATCTTATCATCATGATCTTAGCCGAAAGACGTCCACTGTTGGACATAGGCCTCCCCAAGGCTCTCTACAACAATCGGTCCTATGCTGCCCGCATTCAACGGCTTCCTGCAACCTTCACTTCTATGAAACTTCGAGAGGACTTCTATAAAAGTAAGTAAAAAAATCTGTGTGGTGCCAGATTAAGACTACGGAGTGTCACCATCCCTATTTATCCAAAGAGCACTGCAAGGAGAAAGAAAATTTGACACAAACCCTATACCAACCCGTCTGGCCTGCGTGGTATAGTAAGCCAAAATCTCCTTTCTAAGGAGAACCATATGTCTAGCAGTGGACTATTAAAAGCTGTTGATGAAAGGATAATAACAAACCGCGGTAGTAGGCCGCTTGGTGGAGTACTTCTTTTCGTTGGGCACCACGAGGTCTGCTGGTGGTCTATCACCATATGCATCCTTAGACACGCAGCACAGCCTTCCCTTAACGCACAGGTCCGTGGAGGTAAGGTAAGCCTCGCAGTACAGCGTCAGACGGGACTCCACGCATACGCCAGGGCAAGCTATGTTTCCTGAAACAGATGGGTTTATTGAATTAATAAAAAAATATGGCGTCGACATAAATAATTATTATTATCTCATAGATTTGTAAAATAAGAAAACGATTTTTGTCGTGAAAATAAAAGTAATAATATTATGTTAATTGTGTGTAAATTTTGCACTTTTTGAACTAACATTAGATACCTGTCTTTACTCCTTTGATATTTTTCATCTTTAAACACATGGATATTTTCTAACTTCTCATAATAGGTGAAATTTATCTATAATAGGTATGTATTTAGAAATATATAAGTATGTTTATCAGCAGTCCGGTTACCGTAGTAACCGGACTGCTGCCTAGTTTGGGATCAGACAGCCGTGTGTGAGATGTGTGAGGTTGTAAAAAAAAAACTAAGCAAAAATACCTATGTTCTTCGAAAAATTAACAAAAATTTTGCGTATAATAAAGGCACCAAAAAAAAAATACACCTCTAGATATTACTGCCATATTCGTGATTTTTTCATTTACAAAAATCTACTTTCTAATCGCGGCTACCATTCAATAATAATAAATATAGATCACAAACACCAAAGATTTTATTATAATATTCAAACTAAACCGGTAATAACAATGTATGAAATGAAAAAGGAACACAAGTAAAACTATGCACTATGAACTCGTATTGAATTTAAGTGAGTTCACTTTTTATAAAAAACGAGTTAATGGACATTATGACGACTAAATATATCAGTGGTGTCACGTCATGATAAAACGGGTACTCTTTCATTATGAGCTTAATATATTCACTTGTGTGGTGATCGAGGCACAACCAACATTGTACTGTAAATTAATAATATAATAAAATATTACCGGACATCTGACACACAACGCCATCTAGTTTCAAACTAAGCAAAGCTTGTACTATGGAAGCTAGATTGACTGATAGAATACTTATATAGTTTTAATCATCAACAGCCTATACTAGTCCACTGCTGGGCATAGGCCTCTCCTTAGAAAGGTGGTTTTGGCCTACTATACCACGCTGGCCAGACGGGTTGGTATAGGGTTTGTTTCAAGTTTTCCTTCTCTTTGCAGTGCTGTTGTCCTGCTTATTTTGCTCCCTTAGTCGGCTCTTACGACACCCACGGGATGAATTGGGGTGGTGACAATTTGTATTCTTAATCCGTCACCACACGGACGATATACAGTTTTAATAATAAATCATTTTTATTGAATAAAACATGACTACGATAAAGTACCATATTTTCAAAGTAACAGTCTATATATTTTTTTTACAGAATATGACTATACTATACTACTAGACATGTCATTTAATATGCATTTATCGATATATTTTTTTTTTTTTTTTTTTTTTTTATTTAAAAAGACAACTCCCGCATTAGGAATACATTCCTGTGTCGCGGGGGACTTTACAAACATACATGAAACGGACACAAAGAACACCCAGACTCAGAACAACAATTTGTGGATCACACAAATTGTCGTCCCATGTGGGGTTTGAACCCACAACACTCGGCGTAGTAGGAAGCGGCGAGGTGACCGCTTAAACCACTACGCCATCAATACTCGTACAGTCAATTAAGTGAAATGTATGTATTTCTAGTTTATACACCACCACTTCTAGTAAGCCAAATAATTAACCCAAAAAATATAGATCTATATTGGTGTCTAAATGTGTTTGTCCTCTTCACAAGTAGTATCCCAACCTAACAGTTACCCAAAACTATCCTTCATACTGATTGTCACGACGATAGTATGTAATCTATGCTATAATATTTTAAAGTTGAGGAGATTGTTTGTTTAAACGCGCTAATCTCGGGAACTACTGGTGCGATTTGAAAAATTATTTCAGTGCTAGATAGCCCATTTCTCGAGGAAGGCTATAGGCTATATATCATCACGCTAAGACCAATAGGAGCGGAGCAACAATGAAGAATGTTGCAAAAAGGGGGCAAATTTAGTCATTTTAAAAGACGCGGACGAAGTTGGGTTAGCTAGTTTAATAATAATTTGGCCCACAATATAAACGTTAACTCGAATGATTAAATGTTTAGAAAAATTTTAAAGTAAATAATTTTAGTATACTATGAATATTCCTGAAAAGGCGCCCAATATGTACATTCATAAATCACAGTTTATGCACAATCTTGGTAAGTTGTGTGGCTCGAAATTAAAGATAGATAGATAGTTATGAGGTTGTAGCTATCAGACTACTCTGTATTATGATGATACAAAATTCCTAGAAGTCAATATGGTAGGGTACCTAATAATTACCACTGTTTTTGTATTTGTCTGCCGGCGCGTGTGTTGAAGGCTCCTCGTCATAATCATCGTCGTCTATCGTCGTGTGCCGGGTTGGGTGTGGCCGGTGGGTTGTCGGTTGGGTCTCGTTACCTGGAACAAGGGAATGGAGAAATGATTGCCTGACAGAAAACCGGTGTTAAGTAAATCTTTTTATTTTGCATGTCAACCAGTGATTCCAACCTTGCAACGTCTACATTATTATGATCATTGACTTTCGACCACATTTTAATCAGCTTTTTTAAGATAATGGGGGGGGGGAGACATGTTACCTGATGGTAAGTGACTACCGCCGCATGTTACAATTAAAATTTAAGTTTTGCTAGTCAATGAAATAAAGACATTAAATTCATATATTTCTGGCAAAAAACCGGTGTTAAACAAGTCTTTTTAGTTGCATTTCAACCGGTGAGTGAGGTCGTCGGTGACATAAGTTCCCTCTTACCTCTCTCCAGGTGTATTCAAAGGCCAGCGATTGTGCGCTTGTGACGCTTTGGGTTGCAGGTGTTCTTAGACGGCGATAGTCACATCAGGTGACAGAAATGTCTATCAAGTACAGTGAAATTAGTCTCGAGAAATTTTTGCATATGTAGTAGTGTGTATATTACTCAGATCTTAGAGCGCGTTTCCACTATATCGTTCTGGCCTATACAAAAATGTTTCGATATCCTAACATTACTATTTAATTTTATACTTATCCCTAGCAACACTCTGATTTTTGTTTTCAATAAAAACAAGTTTTTATTTTAAAGAAAAAGGTTTTGACTTTATAAAAAAAAAGGTGTGTGTGCGATTCACACACGACAGAAGTGAAACTTCAAAGAGGAGAGACCGATATTTAATTTTTTTTTTCCTTTCATCTAGGTTTTTAAAACTCCGGGGGGTCTACGGGGGGGTCAAAATTTTTGTTATTTTTGGCCTAGGACGCACCGTTTCCGAGATATTTCAATATAAAGCAAAAAATCGTCACTTGATAGTGGAAAGTGGAAACACGCACAAAACCAGAATAAACCAGTTTACGCTGTCCGCTACACTACACTACTACAAACGCAAAAATTTCTCCAAGCTAATTTACCTGTAGTGTCCTTGAAAATTCGCAATCGTACGAAGCAATTATTTGCTTTATTCAAATTCTGAAGGATCTTGCTTTTTGTTTTTAAATTCAAAATGTCTAAACTAAAATAATACTTCAATGTGTTAAGCGTATTGCACTTTTGTTATTAAGTAGATGTTACACCAAACTGAAGAGATGACAGGAAGATACTGGATACATCCACTTATGGAGAGTTGTGACTAGTTTCCCATACCGTGGGGCGTTCCTCGACCAAAAGATATCAACAATTTTACGTCAACATCTGACTTTTTTTTAAATCACTGCTGTTTTAAAACGTCTTATTTCCAAGCGTGCTACAAATAAACTGAAAGTGTTTCGGCCCTTTAGCTACGACTACATATGTATTATTTTATGCCTTGTTCTGTCCGAGCTATGTATTTCACATTATGTGGGTGCTTATAGCAGGTATATTTATTTATATTACACCTCTAAGTTAAGTAGAAATGATGGAGGCTGAGGTAAGCAGAAACTAAATATATAATTTATAAAATTGCAATAGACAGGAATGGATCAACGTGTCTTTTAAAATTCTCTTAGTTAATTTTTAGAAGAGTTTCCTTACTAATGTTGTGGAAACATTAAGAATTCTTTATCTTATTTTAATAGGCGTAATCTAAATATAAAACAGTTTAATATTTAGTGTAAATTAATTAACAAACATTCTTATTATTAGTTTTAAGCATTGGTTTAGCTAAAAATAGAGTTTGGTAGGGTCATAGCAGCTACTCGTATTGTTATTTAGTGAATTTTATAATTTTAAAGAAACATCCAAAAAGAACAATAGTTTTTAGAAAATCAGGAAGACTTACTGCTAGTGTCGTCAGCACAGCACTTCATAGAAGAGCCTGGACACTCCACCTCTTCAAGGACCTCGCTGCAGAGTAAAGCGGCCAGCGAATGTATACACGTTCCTGGACAGGTTTTGGTTTCCACTTGTGTGTCCAGAGTATCTAGCAGACCTGGAAATATACCACAAATACATTGTTAATATAACTAAGACCATCTCAGTATTGTTTAACTTTTTTTTTAATAGAATGAAAGTTAAAAACTCTAAGAAATTAGTAAACGAACAAATGTTGTCATAATATTGTGGCGACCTCTACAGCATACTTTAATATAACAAAAACTATGGAGTATACAATACTAGATTTTGCCTGAGGCTTTTTCAGTTATCGCGGTAAAAAGCGCGAGGTAGCCTGTCCTTCCTTAAGAATCAATCTATCTCCATACCAAACTTTGAACTAAATCGGTTTTTTTTTATGTTGGAGGGGGCAGACGAGCAGATGGGTCATCTGATGAAAGTGACCATCGCCGACGATGAACGTCTGCAACTCAGGAGTCACAAACGCGTTGCCGCCCTTTTAGGAAGGAGTACGCTCTTTTCTTGAAGGTTTGAAGGTCGTATCGGTCCGGAAATACCGCAGACGATAACCCGTTCCACAGATTGGTTGTGCGGGGCAAAAATTGTCTCGAAAAGCGCACAGTAGTGGAGCGCCAACTTTTGACGTGTGGAACAAAATTTTGACGTGTGGAACGATGGTGGAAGTTTGAGGCTTATATTAGTCCGAACAATTCCTCGGAGCACTCTCCATGATATATGCGATAGAGAATGCAGAGTGAAGCTACATCTCCACGTAACGCCAACGAATCGAGCCAATCAGTTCAGGGGTTATTAATTCCCCATACAAACTTTCGCCCTTTTCGCCCCCTTAAAGCACAATTTCTGGGATAAAAGCCCTATGCCCTTCCTGGTACTTGAACTATCGCTGTACTAAATTTCATTTAAATTCGTCCAGCGATCGAAACCTGAAGAGGTAACAGACAAACAGACACACTTTCGCAATTGCTTACAATATCAGTATGGATGGAGAATTACCTTGCATGGACGTCAAACCCAAAAAGTGTATATTGGAAATATCTGCTTATTTGTTATTTGTCTTTTTATTTTTGTTTAAATAATGTTATTATGCATGTACCTAGTGTAATAATTATGTTCTACAGGCCTGCTGGGTGTACGTGTGTATGGGCGTTAGACACGATACACGAACAGATATCGAAACGAATTCAAAACATACTCAAACAACTGTTCTGTGGTGTAGTTTATCTATAAAATCTATGTATGTATTTAGAAATATATAAGTATGTCTATAAGCAGTGTGGTTACCATAGTACAGGTATGACCTAGTTTGGGATCAGATGTCTTCGACAAGTGTCAAGCTCACTAACCACAAAGCTCACAAAGCTTCACAGGTTCACTTGTGTCAAGCTTTCCTTCTTTTTGCAGTGCTGGTGTCCTGCGTTGTCTTGCGCCCTTAGTTGGCTCTTACGACACCCACGAGATGAATTGGGGAAGTGACATTCCGTATTCGAAAGACCAGATTACTCAAAGTAAATTAAATCTAATTAAACTTCATCAAGGGTACATAAAAAACGGTCCTATTTAATTAATATCATTGGTCTGTGTACATAAATGGCAGGTATACGTTCCGTTATACGTTTACATTCGACTCACGCGTCGGTTTAGCGGGCCAAGCGAACTGCCAGAGCCGCAAATACATGGCACAGAATGCGGTGAGTTACGAAATTAGGTGTTATCAAAGTAGTTCAATGTATCAGGTTAGTGTGACAAGTAATAATACTAGTGGCTTTATGTATAGGTGTCCCTGTCGTGACAAATTAAAAATACGGAGTGTCACAACCCCTATTCATCCCGTAGGTGTCGTTAAAACCGACTAAGGATGCATGCCGCACTGCAAAGAGAAGGAAAACTTGAAACAAACCCTGAACTAATCCGTCTCGCTAGCGTGGTAATACCTAGTATGGTAGTGCTTTGATTTCACACTTGCTATTGATCACTGACTTTCGACTACATTGTAATAAGCTTTTTTAAGGTATTGGGGAGAGAGGAGGAGGGGGGGGGGGCAAACGAGCAGACGGGTCACCTGATGGTAAGTGACTATCGCCTGTAGTAACGCTTTGTAGTCTAAAAGGCTTGATAAATTTTGGCATTTGAGGTGTCGTTAGGTTTGTCTTAATTGTGAATGTCACTGGGTATATCAAAATTTCTTAATTTTAAGTATTAATTCCGCGGGTGTCGTAAGAGCCGACTAAGGAAATAAACTGCACAGGACAACAGCACTGCAAAAAGAAGGAAAACTTTTAACAAACCCTATACCAACCCGTATGGCCAAAACCTCCTTTCTGAGGAGAGGCCTATGTCCAGCAGTGGACTATTAAAGGCTTTTGATGTGATAAAGTACCTATACATTTTCACTTTGTTTTTCAATAATTAGCTTTTGTTACAAACTGTTATAAAAAACATGAAATAATACATTGTCAGAAATGACGAAAAAAAAACGACAGGCGTAAAGTTTTAAAGTGAACTAAAATATAAGTTAATATTTAAAAAAAAACATTTCTTTTATTACACAAGGTGAAAAATGAAAGTCGCTAAAAAAAGTTAATTAATTTGGTTTTTTTTTATTACATTAATTACATTACCTATCGGTTTAAATTATCTTTTTATATGCTTTTACGTATTTCTCTGTTAAGTATTAATTTGTTAGAAGCTTATTATAATTATTTGGAGTGTTATAAGTTATTAAAAATACAGAGTGTCACCACCCCTACTTGTGTTAACAGCCTTTAACAGTCCACTGCTGGACATAGGCCTCTCCTTAAAAAGGAGGTTTTGGCCTACTATACCACGCTGGCAGGCGGGTTGGTATAGGGTTTGTGTCAAGTTTTCCTTCTCTCTGCAGTGCTGTTGTCCTGCGTATTTCGCTCCCTTAGTCGCCTCTTACGACACCCACGGGATGAATAGGGGTGGTGACACTCTGTATTCTTAATCCGTCACCACACGGACAATGCATTTCATTAGAAAAATATCAGTAGGTAATATTAGCATAATTTTTATATATTAGATTTCCTAGTATCGTGTCGTAATTGCTTATAAGATTCCTAAGAAATATGTGTTTTAACGAATCTTTAAAATATTATTTTACACATTTCCTAAATAGATTCGGTATTGTATGTATTTCCTAGGAGTTGTATACGATTCATAAATTTTATACATTTCGGGTAACAACTAATACTTCTGTCCAGTTTTAATCATATGTACTTAAGTAGGACTCTGGATGGTTCTGGAGGGCTCAACCCCAAGGGGTCGATATCGGTTGAAATCGGTTTTCTAGTGGCGACATAAACGAAAACTGATATTGAGGGTCGACGAGGTATAAAAATCGACCCCTATTAACGAACACAAGTTCTTATTTGAAACTTTCAAGATACTGTAAAAGTTTTGTTACGTGTACCAACTTGTTACAAGACTGATTAATATGTCTATTTCATCATCATCACCATTAACAGCCTTTAATAGTCCACTGTTGGACATAAGCCTCTCCTTGGAAAGGAGGTTTATGTATTAAGATCCTCTCCTCCGAAAGTCGATAGGTCAAAAAGGGCGAAAAACGCCGTCGAAGCAGACCACAAATGCGTTGGAGTGACTACATCATAAGACTGGCGGGAACACAGTGGATGGAAATGGCCCAAGACCGAGAAAGATGGCATAAACTAAAGGAGGAATACACCTCAGCATCCAAAACGTCACAAACAATCGTGATTAATTTCGTTGCGGGTTCCAAGACAGTTTAATTTCTTCCTGGGACTTCCCGAGTGTCATAACTCGGTGTGTTCGTGGGTCTCTGCTGTGGATCCTGGTGTACAGGAGTTACAGTGGTGGGCGTGTGGGTGGGATTAGTCCCATAAAAAAAAAACAATCGTGATCATTACTCAATATTTGTTCTGGAGTTCGATTCCAGTTTCCATGACCTCTGGCCTGTCGACCAACAGACCTGTCGACTACACGTAGATATAACAATGTATTAACGTGTATTAACAATGATCTCCCTACCCAGATTTATACACCGGCTTTTGAACATCACATCACATAATGAATGGCGGCCATATAACATAACTGCTTACAATGATTGATTGGCTGCACTGCAGTGGTTTCAGCGGTCATCTCGCTACTTCCCACTGCACTGAGTGTTGTGGGTTCGATCCCCACACGGGACAACACTTTGTGTGATCCACAATTTCTTGTTCTAAGTCTGGGTGTTCTATGTGTCCGTTTCATATATGTTTTTAAAGTCTCCCGCGACACAGGATATATTCCTAGTGCGGTAGGTGTCTTAAACAAAAACGATAACAGTAAAGGGTCAAAGGAGGAGGGATGAAGGAGTTTTACTACAGTCCTAGCTGGGAGTTAAGCACAAAACCCCAAGCCAGTTTATAACTAAACCTGAACTGGTCAACTATACAGATGCTTGTGGGACAAAATCTTTAAGACCAAAGGGTTCGCCAATCATGTCCTCCAAGGAAATCCATTTCAGTTCGCCATCGATGGATACGCCGCGGAGGACATCATCATCAACTTGTAGGGATTAACAAGTATGCTTATATTATATGACCCATGTCACTAATCTCCTCTTCCGAACCAGTTCCAAAACTAGGATGGGGTCTTCTGCTGGGTTCACTCTGCTACGACAGTTAGTGTCATACGACATAATCAGTCATCGAGCCCCTCTCCAATATTCTTAAAAAAAATACCCTCTAACTGACTGGCTTCTTGATTGTCTATGGTATAGATCATAGAGCTCAAGGCTAACATCCTATTGAATTCCCATAACTTGCTCGACCACATTCCGTTGCTCCCATGGTGATTTAAAACGTGATGCCGTTAGCTTCTCCCGACAAACGGTTTAAAAAGTTAGGGCTGTCATCTGTTTTTAAAATATATTTTATAGTAAAAAAATATAACAGACCCTTTATTGTGCAATTGAGAAAATAATAATAATAATATGCATTTGCCGCATCATATTTCTACATCACCAGAAGGTCGACTGGGAGAGAATGACATGACCTATGACCCTATGACCCTATTACATTAAATCCTCCTCTGTACAACATGTGCAAGCTTAAAGCAAATAAAAGCTTGCCAAGCAAATAAATTAAAATGTTTTAGGATCACCGATTTATTTATTTTTCTACAATATACTAGTTAACCCAGCAAACGTTGTTCTGCCATTTAAAAAAATTAAAACCTACCAAATAAATATACAAAAAATCAATAAAAGCGGTCGAGTCGTTTCGGAGGATTGCGATCACCGTGACACGAGACATTTACATATTAGATGTACATAGAATTGATTAGAATTAATATTATTTGGATATTTATAAGACTACTTTTTAGCAGTCTGGTTACCATAGTACAGGCTCTGCCTAATTCGGGATCAGTAGGCCATGTATGAAATATATCAAGTTAATTATAATATTTTATATTATGAGTCATCCCTAGCAGAACCCTCCCCGCTCCCTCAAAATGGCCCTCACGACAGCGCCTCAGCACTCACAGCCAAATGAAAGGAAAACACATAGCAATATGATTCACAAGCGCAGGCGACTGCCATTTTTTATATTTTAAGTAATTAATTGTTGGTTATAAAAATTTGTCGTAATTGCTGTAATGAAATCCGCATCAAACTAATTGATGTGTTTTCTTTTTAAAGTAATAATGTTAATTAAACTACGAGTGTGGAGATTTAAAGTGAATTTTATTGCACGTTTTGTTGTTCCGTCATTATAATGAAATGATTGCGTCATTTACATCTGACATCTGAATTTAGTATTGAATTTTACATTTCGCTCTTCATTTAATAAATAATAACCTCACACATCTCACACACGGCCGTCTGATCCCAAACTAGGCAGAGCCTGTACTATGGTAACTAGACTGCTGATAAACATACTTATATGTTTCTTAAAACAGATAAATCACACCCAACACAGTACGAATGATCTAGCTCTTCAATCAATTATTTACCCTGATTGAGAATTGAACCCACGACCTCTGGTATATAGCGCAGAGCAAACCTGTTGGCGGTAATCGGGTGTTTGGGAATTAAATATGGTTTTTTAGTTGTATTCATTCTACAAGTGTATGTCAGGCTTTAACATACCTACACCTAATGATTTTCAGTTGACCTCACTATTAATATAGAATTTAGTAAGTATGTCATATCCCTTTGGTGACGGATTAAGAGTACGGAATGTCACCACCCCTATTCATCCCGTGGGTGTCGTAAGAGCCAACTAAGGGAGCAAATTACGCAGGACAAACATCACTGCAAAGAGAAGGAAAACTTGACAGAAAGCCTATACGAACTCACCTGGCCGGGCCAAAACCTCTAGTCTAATGAGAGGCCTATGTCCAGCAGTGGACTATTAAAGGCTGTTGATGTGATGTGATGATGTGAAGCATACCTAAGATTTGATTTGTTTTTAAAACAATCATTACAAATGTCCACCCTTAGAAGCAATATTCTTTGTATCTTATCTTGCATTATTATCAACATATTTCCAATATTCCCATTTAATTAACAAAGATTCTGTTTGACGGCAAATACTAATATAAAATTATGGTCTGCAAGAAGTGGGTGTTTAAACATGCCTCTGCCTATTATGTCGGGGATAGGGTGGGAGTTTGAAACAATTCTAAACAAATTAAACAATTCTTTTAAACAGTTCTAAACAATTAAAAAAAAAAGTGTGTGTGTGCAATTCACACATGGCAGAAGTGAAACTTCCGAAATAATTTTTTTTAAATCAGAAAATCCCTATAAAATTTTGTCCGGCCAGTAAGGCAGCGTTTCTCAAGTTCCACGCGAACGAAGTCGGGGGTATCAGCTAGTATCATCATCAACAGCCTTTAATAGTCCACTGCTGGACATAAGCCTCTCCTTAGAAAGGAGGTTATCAGCTAGTATAAGATAAAAATATTCACACTGTCAAAATATTATATTAAAAATAATATGTAATGTATTCTATCTCATTCTCTCACCGACTTAATCCTATACATTTATGTGTTTTTTTCTTTATAGTGACGCATTTTCGTTTCATCGAGTTTCAAATCAAAACGATTCAAAAGAAGTTTCACTTCAAAAGTATTGTTCACGAGAAATATTAACCGTAGAAGGGCCATGTTTCGGCACAAATGGGCTCGACGGGAATGCCTTAAGCATTTGTTTTGTTGCTTTTACCGAACGAGTGAGCTTAGTAAAGGACAGCCACGCACTTTTAACTTACGAATTGTAGCTGTTAATTTGCAGCGATGACCCGTCTGCTTCTTTGCGACTAATATTAGAACTGATTGGCAAAACATCTGAACTGCTTCACAAAATCTACTTTAAGGCGGGCGAAAGCTAGTAACTTTAAAAGACTTAACTCTCCATTATACATTGTTAGCAGGTTTCTATACAATAAAGTGTCGCTTGTCGCTTGCGTCGCCTCCCGTCGTATCTACAACCGTTACCCGCTGACCCAATGTTCGGCGGTGAAATCGACCGCGGCCGAGCGCCGAAAACGAAAGTATAAGATATGCGTGTGAGCATAAATTTGACGAGTATTCACTGTTCTGTGAAGACACCTGGCTGTTACACCTTCTGTGCTCTTTATCTGTAACTCTACGATATTGTTTTAATCTTACACAATTTCTATAAAATAGATATAAATTTAGTTGTTGATGTACGATCTTGGCCTCTTGGTTGTGACGAGAACAACCAGAAATAATATGCCTGATGGATTGACCAGGACTTACTATTATATAATTATATGAGTTTATTTACGACCAACTATTTTACATTTAACTAGGTTATGGTCCGACGTGATTGCCAAAAGTAAAAAATAATAATCGCTTTAAAGATAAGTTGGTTTAAAGAAATGTTGGCCACACAAGTTTACGAGCTTTAAATTGCTATTCTATCCATTTTTTTTAATTACATCTGTCGCTTTATGGTTTTAATTTGACGTTTATAGTTTTTTTTTAGACCGGTGACATTTGGCACCGATCACATGCCGTTATTGAAGTCTGGAGGTTTATAAAAGTTCTTTTTTGTCTATGACGCCCATATGTATTATGGAAAAGTGTACCTAAAACTGATAAACGACATATGTGTACAATATCTCGTCTTTATGGGGTTCAGATGATTTGACAACAGATATGAGTAGCGGTTCAAGCGGGCCACCTACTGCGCATAGTGTTGTGGGTTCGATCCTCACACGGGACAACACTTTGTGTGATCCACAAATTATGAGTCTGGGTGTTCTTTGTGTCCGTTTCTAGGAGGAGATATCTTTAAAAAAACAACCTTTACTTGGTTTTAATTACCTTGGCTGGACAGTACTTCTAGTGCTTAGTGGACCTGCTGAGCCAGAGGTTGTGGATTTGATTCTCAGGACAAATAATTGTGTGACATGTATTGATATCGTGTCTAGGTGTAATTTATGTATGTATTTAGATATATATAAGTATGTTTATCAGCAGTCTAGCTACCATAGTACAGGCTCCGTCTGGTTTGGGTGTTATTTGTTTTGCCAGATGGTTCTGAATAGCCTTAGAGTAATGGCTAAAGCTTTTGAGCCATTGAATTCATTTGTTCAATAGCCGAAAAGGTTTTGGTGTGAACTCGTAACTAAAAATAATTTCTGTCACGTTTTATTCTTTAATTACTAAACCAGTCATCAAGTAATTTTGCACACAGATTATCAGATATGTAATAAGATATAGGATTTAGATGAAAATAAATTGACACTATCAACATTCGTCAGAAGCTTAAGTTAGTAAAAGAGGTTTTTGGAGGCCCAAAACATAGCCGGGGGGGCTATGTATAATGACGCGCCTACTAAAATACTCTTCTTGATATATATCAAAGGTATTATTTAATAAGGGAAGACAAGATGTTAGCGTCTATAACTATTGAATATCCAATAGATCTGCGAGCGTGGTGCTTTCTAAGGGGTCGTTGACCGCGCGAAAGTCGGTGCCACGGCAATGATACAACTGCGCAATGACTGCATGTGACGAGACATCGCACTTAAATGTTTTGCACATAATGTTGTTATCAATTATTTGTCTACTGTGTCGGCGTGTGAGTATAGCCCATCTAAGGACTTGGATTACAAATGCCTTTGCCTTTCGGGTAATTAAAAAAAAAGTGACGTTTGCGTTGTGCGGCATTTGGTGTTCTTTTTTTAAATTTAACTGGCATACAATTTAGTTATGGTTATTTGATTTTTTATGTTTCAAACCTTTTTTAATACCAAAATCAAAATATTTTCATTCATTAATACAAGTCTTCATAAAAAAAATTGTGGTGTTTTGTTATGCAACATGTGGTATTTTTGTTTTTATATAGAATGATCTGCATTTTATGGCATAAATTGAAAAAGTCTTTGGTTTGTGTAAATTAAAGACGGAAATTTTAAATAACAAAACCAGGGACCCTTACGGTATGTGTTCATTGTGTGTAACATCTGCCAGAGAGCGTTTGTAACAAAAAAGCGCGCTCATTACTCATTTAATTCTCCTGTTTCTTGTAACATACTTAAAGTGTAAAGAAACATCAATAATAAACTTTAAAAAAAAGTTTCATTGACTTCAAAGCACTTTGTAAACAACTGTATCCTTCATTCCTTTAAAAAACAAACTGCATTCTTCATTCCTTAATTTCTCATCCTCAAAAAAAAACCCTCCAACAAATCGACTTAAATGTGATGTATTTTCGAGATCAATAGAAATAAAAAAATACAACCGAAAAGATAACCTTTTAGCCG